CCAAGTCAGAGAGCCCACAAACCCAACTCCTGTTTTGGCTGCTTGGAGTCTGCTGGATGCCTTTTTTGTCTATAAATCCTCCAGCCCATCAGCCTGTTTTCAAGCCCCAAGAATGTTCACTTTCCATATGCTCCCCAGCTGGCCACCGGTGCAATCTCCTAGAGGTTAACCTTGTGTTCAGGAGCATTCTTTTGCAGGCATTACCTTTCCTTAAAAAAATGCAATGCCTCCGTGGTCAGGATATCAAAGCAGCCATGCACACACACACACACACACACGCACACGCACATACACACACGCGCACACACACACGCACACACACACACACGCACACACACGCACACGTGCACACACGCGCACACACACGCACACACGCACTCACACACACGCACACGCACACACACGCATGCCCACCCATTCATATGTCTCATGTGAAAATCATCAAACTCATTAGGCTGTGTTTCACAATTTCCCAATAAACGTTCACATTTTCTTGTCACAGAGACTTCTATAATTTACCTGGCAGTGTCATTACTGAACTCTGCAACAATTCAACCCAGCCCGACTCACTGGTGGTAGCCGGTTCCTAGGAGGAAAGACTTTTGACATCCTTGGAGTTTTCCCCTTCTCCACATTTCCTTGCTCCTCCCATCCCTGGCCCCTACCACAGGCACATCTGTGCTTGTTTCATTGGCCTGCCGTACCCTGCAACCAAACACAGGCCGAGGATTGTAGGAAACAAGCCCATAGTCCCTCGGAGGGCTTCTAACCTGCTCTGCGGCTCTGCCCATTCGAGCTGGGCCAGTCTCCACCCGAACCAAACAGAAACCCAGGGGGCTGTGTCAGCACAGAGGTGTCTGCATCTCAGCTTGCTGTGAAACAGGTGTGCTTTTTGAGAAGCCCACTCGCCCACTGTAACGTGAGCAGGGCACATGTGAGGAGTTTGGGTCTCCTTAGATTTGGGGGTGGGGTTTTTGAAAAAGAAGGTTAGGCTGGAGAATCCATCTAACCATTCAACCATTCCGGTTGAATCCATCTTCAGTGACTGCGGCTGTTCCTAGTTGTGGAACAGAGCATGTGCGAGGCCCTGGGGCCAGGGTTGTGGAGAGTGGAGTGTTTGTGTGGACAGTTGGCCGCTCCCCAGGCTTCAGAGCACCCTCACTGAGGCAGAGCCTATGGTGCAGCTGAGCAGGGCAGGAGCTTAGCGAGGAAAAGCCAGGCTTCACCGAGGAGGACCTGGCATTTGCTTTGCCAGGTCCTTCAGAGTTTGAAGCCTGAGCAGGAGGTGCGTCTTCCTGGTGCAGCCAGACAAATCTCCAGGTAGCAATAAACTGACTACACAGCCTTCATTCCTGAACACGTGTTCAAAAGCGATAAAATAAATGCAGATGGCTTCTCCAAGCCTCAGTGGAGGATTTTTACATTGACTAAATGAACTACAAAGCACATATAAACACACATGTGCTCACACACAACACAGGAAAGGGAACAGCCCCAGAAAAGTCCTCAGAAATACCAAACCCTAAAACACCAACACCAGCCTATAGGAAGCATTGTTGAATACGAGAGAGAGACAGAAACTGAGAGACAGAAACACAAGAGCAAAGCCGTGCTATAATTTGCAAGGAGGACGCAAAACATAGATGCACACTCACACTCACACATGTGCACATCAGGGAAGCACGTCGGAGGAACTTCTCGCAAAAAATTACGTTTTGCTGCTTGGAAGGGTTAGAAATACCTTCCCTGGTTTGTCAACTGAGGATTAAAGGCCTTGTCAGTAAGACTGGGCCAGTGGTTTGGTTGACGAGACCTGTATAAAGGAAATGCGTAAATGTCACCCTAAGGTCCACCTCCCATAAGGTCCATGATTAATACATGTTAAGTATGACTAATCCTCCACTACGGAGCTTGGAAAGTCCCGCCAAAATTCCAGAATGAGGGGTCCTGCAAACCCTGCAAAAGCTCATCGTCATCATGATAATCAACACTGAAGGAGGCTTCGTATGTGCCAGGAAATGGATGATTTTCTTAGATTGACCAACAATCTTACGAAGTAGGCACTATCCCCACTTTATAGACAAGTAGACAAAGGCTCAGAGAGATTAGGTAATAAGCTCAAGGTCACAGTCTGTAAGAGGGGAGAGAATTTTAGAGACTCACATGTGGCTGAAAGGAGTCCCATCAACAGGCAACAGAGCTTCTCACCATAGCATTCATTAAGGAAGTGAAGATTATCCACCTGGACTCTGCCCCTCTCTGCAATAGAATCTCATGGTGCTGAAAGCCCCAGTTAGGACAAGGGAGTTATTCAAGGTCATGCAGCTATTGGCAATAAAATTGACCCACAACCCATTTTCTCCTGTGCACTCAAGTTCTTCACACTGCAGTACACCTCTGCTTAATGAAGGCCCTGTAAGAAACTAAGCAATAAGGGAAGATAAGGAGAGAGTGGAGTTTTCCAGGAGCCAGATACTAGCTTTCCAAGCTTCTCCTATCTCAGAGATGGGTTTAATATTCAACAACCCCAATGGCAAATGTGTACCTTGGATACAAATAGGCCTCCTATCTACCTGGAGAAGGCTCTGCCCTGGGCCCAAAGCTAACACATTGACTCTGGCAGCATCTGAATAAAGTTACTGACATGGAACTGGGTAATGCCGCATTGCCCTGGCCTTCCGAATGGGTGAAGCTGAGCCATCAGATGGCCTGCAGCCCAGAGTTCCTTTTGGGAATATTTCTGTCTCATCCCCAAGTCTCTTCTCCTCAGAGCTGCACCTGCCCAGAAGCGTGCTGCTCCAGACTTGCTCTGGACAAGCCAGCAAATTCCTTGCATTCCAGGCCGAGCTCAGGACTCAGCTCTACTCTTTAGGGTCAGTGCCTGGCAAGGCTGGGCTCTGGGGTCCTATTACTGAAGACCGTCTCCCTAATCAACCAGACCACCCTCTACCACTCAGAAGTTCCAGAAGAGGACCTTAAGGGCACCTCAACCGTAGGCCTGAGGATAGAAAGGCCATACGATACGCAGGTGAGGTAGCATTTGCTGCAACTCAACAGGTTTCTCCAACTTTCTACAATCCACTGTTACCCAGGGCCATAAAACTGCTTCTTTACGTTCCTGTCTTGCTCCCGCAGTGCTGGCTAAAAAATTGAGACTCAAGCTTTACAGACATGCCTCAGCTGCAGTATCCCTCAGCCTGCTGTTTTAGGGGTGGAGGGCTTACTAGAAGCCCAGGGAAAGGGTCACTTTGAAATGACAAGCTCCTGATAACTAGGCTTGGGCTAGTCATAAGACTCTCCTTGTCCTATCAGCTGGTTTATTGTGTTCTTGATGAAGGCTCAGTGAAACAACAGGACAAAAGTTTCCCACACAGAGGGCTGTGTTTTTCATATCTCTAGGACTATAATATCCACTCTGAAATGTGATGCTGCTATGTAGGAGAGGGGAGACTAGTGACGAGGAGTCAAGACTGTGCCATCATTGCCACGTAGATTATAATCTTCACTCTGCTACTTACTAAATGACCATGGGCAAGTTGAACCCACCAGCCTCAGTTTCCTCGCCTGTAAACTGGAGATGATACTGGCTCCCTCAAAGGATTTGTGACAATTAATGGTGGCAGGGTTTGAACATGCCTGGCCCGTGATGGGCACGTGGTCAATTCCTTATTTCCTTCCCCCATATTTTAGGCATCCAGGATCAAGTGCAGTGTCATGATGTTCCTAAGGCCACTGCTATTTGCTGAGTCTAATTCAAAAGTTCATGTCCCATAAAGGACACATTCTATACAGGCGTGTGTTAAGGAGATGTCAGTGCGTAGGCTGCTTGAGGTAAGAGCACACGTGGTCCCTAATGAATGCAGGGCAATCCAGGTTGGGCAGAGGGCGGGGCTTCAAGGCAGTACTGGATTAGCAGACACCTTGTACCTCTGCCAAGATGGGAGATGAGCGTCCTTATGTTCCAGCCCCAAGAGGACGAGCTGCTTCCCAATGGGAAATGGGCATCAACAAACTCCTCGACGGACATCCCTGGTGTCCCCTCAGTCCTGCCTGCGCATGTCAGGTGACGCCATCCCCACGGTGACCCCTTGGCTGTCATGGACTCCTGTTGGGACTCAGAAGGCACCAAGAAGGTCCCTTCCATTTGGACGTTTTACATCTCAGGGGGATGGAAGGGAATGGGTGAGGGACTAACATTCTTGAACGCCTGCCCCATGCTAGAAAGTTTCAGGGATTATAACCTGACTCTTCAGGATTCCTTGGACATAGGCAAGGACCCTTGTCTTGACTCTGACCCTAGGAAGCACAGGCTCAGAGAATCTCTAAAAATTTACAAAGCAGTGGTGGCCTTGTAATTGTCTCAAGAAAGAGTTCGACTGCTCCCTAGCTGCAGCCCCTGGAACACACTGAGGCTCACAGGGGAGGAGCTGGAACTTGAACCCAGGTCTGACTCCAAAGCTCTAGCACTTTCCAACTCTGCTCACAGCTCTAGAAGGGGCTGCCAGAGGAGGAGGGGTGGTCACAGGCTAAAAGTCGGTCATAAGTAAATTTATCCTCTATGTGTAGATTATTCACGATCCATTTCAGTTTGCTTCTGGGTAGTCATGCAACTCTTCTGTTACAAATAGTTAAAAAAAATTCTTTGTGCCTAAAGATGAAACCACTTGCAAAAAGTAAAACAAAAACCAAAGCCAAAAAAAAAAAAAAAATTAAACCCTTGAACAACCCCAAACCCCAAAACAACAAATTGTGTTGCAAAGGAACTTCCAAAACTAAAATTGCCAGGGTCATTGTTATTGTTCCAGGACCACAACATTGGAGCAAATCATAATTCTAATTTTCCAAACAAATAGCACAGAATCTGATAGAGAGCTTGCTGGCCAGAGCTACACGGTATCATTTTCAGTGGAGGCCGTAACAGTTCTTTTAATTCATTAACCCAACATTAAATGTACCAGAAGAGGGATATAACTGTGTTTATACACAACTCTGACATCATCTGATTTTAACAAGTTTACTAAAACGACAGTCGTGGCCTTGACAATACTGAATGCAAAATACTGGTGTACACAGATTTTACAGAGTGACTCCTGAGAGCCAGATCACAAAACAAGTTTTAACAGATGGGAGAGGCCTGAGGGAAGGCAAGCACACTGATTTTATTGAGAAAAAAGCTTATATACTGTAGGGTTGCTGAAGTTTAATAAATAAAGGTCAACTTATAATATATAAAAACAATATAAACATTTATATGCTACATGCATATCATATAATTTAAAGTAATAATTTATATATGGGGAGAGATGCCAATTCATGTTCTTCCGATTTTTCTCGACAAGGCACACACACAGGACGTGTCTATTCGTATCCACCGCCAGCCCACGAGTTTATTGTTTTCTGAAGTCAGTGCTCGGACGTAGGTTTGGGACGTTTTGCACTGAGAGTTCCAGTGTTTATCATCAATGCCCCTGCAACCGTTTTTGACTGGCCTGGCTTCCTTACATCGCGTTTCATAAAAATATTGTTTGACGGGAGAGTTGCCCGTTTTGATCTCCCCCAGCACCGTGACCTGGTGTCCCCGAATGTCGATGGCCGATGACTTGTCGGTCACCCACAGACTCTCACTGTCACATACCGAGTACTCCCCTCGGTGACTCTTATGCTCCGCGTACCGTTTCCGCCGTGATGTTCTGTTGGCCACCACGGGGTTGCCCACGTAATCCTCCATGAGGTACAAGGGTGGGGGCTCCAAGGGGGTGCTGTCGCTCAGCAGGACCCGCGGTGAGTTGTAGCGTCTCTGTTGCCGCAGCAGTTCGGTATCCATTGCAATCACTGGCTGGAATTCTGACTTGGCGGGCTCTCCCCGCTCCGGCTCTCGGGGGGCCTCTGCTTTCGGCAGGGTGCTCTGGTAGTTTTCCTTAACGTCCACCATCTGCTTGGAGAGCTTGTTTTTCAAAATATCTGCCTGGATCAGCTTAATAATCAGGGAATTGAGCGAGTCTTCTGGCAAACTCCTTTGATCCATGTTGTTACCTTGGATGCCACGGAGATAAGCGAGAAATATCACATAAAACAAGATGGACATCACCTTGTTCACCTGTAAGATCTGAAAGGGAAACACAGGTGTTAAGAGCAGGCCGTGGCAGCTGAGTCTATGTTATTCTGGCACCAGCTACCTGAGGCTGAGTATCCCTGTGGGGCCCGAGAGAGGATCCCGCCCCCCAGGTAAGCAACGCAACTCCCCTCTGGACATTCTGAAGAGGCAATTTCTTTCCCCCACCCCCAGGAAATACTGCAGAATGCACTCCAGGTCTGCGTCTGCTGACTCTGCTTTTTGCACGGGTTGTATTTACATTGGATGTCTGCTTTATCCTGCAGCCTCGACTTGTGGGTGGATGATGTCCTACCGCTTCTTTAAACATCCCTTGAGCCTGCAAAGATGCATGATTCACTCTAGTCTGGCAAAGCATGAAAACTTCAAACCTGAGAATTGTAAGCATGGAGTAACTTCCCTTCAGCAGTAGCAGTGGTGGCCTTGTAATTGTCTCAAGAAAGAGTTCGACTGCTCCCTAGCTGCAGCCCCAGGAACACACTGAGGCTGAGGACTGGTTCAGTGGCCCCCCCATACTGCAATGTCAGATGTGGGGTCGTTCCTGGCCAGGTCGCAGCCGGAGCGGTCTGTTCTCCTGCCCTTGGAAATGAACATGTAGGGTCACTACCGACTCTGCGAGAGGGCCTGCGTTCCAGGGTGCTCTGCCGAGCTTTCTGACAGACACACATCACCAACCGATCTGCTCCATCCCCAGGGACCCTCTCTGCAAAACAGAGCCCTGCCACAGCGCGACTTGCAGAAGACAGAGATGCAGAATAACCACCTCACATAAATGGGCTGGACTTGCCCAGAACAGAAGAGTTATTGTTGATTCACTTTCCTCCTTTAGATTTTTAACATTTCTGCTACAAAATGTTCCTGTTAGTGGTTATGCTCCTTCTAATTCTACTATTTCCTTGTTTAAACGGCATTTCAACCCATCGGCGCCCTCATTCTGTTGCCATAGTAGAAGGTTAACACCGGGCTCCTGAGGAGTCCTGGTGGAATTACAGTGCTGATCTCAAGATACCTTCATTGCTGGTCTCTCCCTCACTAGAGCAAAGAAAGCCCAGCTCTTCCGAGGGTTAGCACTGGAAGGAGATGCTCCAGGTGGAGAGGGGCAGCTGAGCTAGTGATCCCCCTGATTCCTCCACCTCCTTGAGATAATCACCCCTTAATTACCATCGCCACCACCTCACCGCCTCCCAGGGTGTACATCATTTCCTATTTAAAGTTCTGTCTAAACATGGAAAATGAAAACTCTTCCCCTGGTTCACCTTTGGTATTTTCGGAAAGACTTCACTAAGTCCAGGGGGAAAATAGAGAGGAAATAAACAAAGCCGACACAAGAAACAGAAGAGCAGTCCTGCTAAGCAACACCTATGTCTGAGCCCGCCAGTGCTCCCTCACTCCCAGGACCCACAGAGAGCCTCTTCCCAGCTTGTCTGAAATACGGCTGGCTCGCTTGTCCCTAGAGGTCAGCAACAGTGACGCACTCTGCTCATACTGCCTCCTCTTGTCACTGTGATAAGGAGACCATCTTCTTTCCATGGGAACTAGTCTTGGGAACAGCTGACCCCTTCAAGGTCAAAGCCAAGAGAGGGATTCTAGCTTTACTGCTCATCCTTAGAGGAAAATGACTCTCAGGAATTGTACTATCCTAGGAAAACGGTTCCTCTACAGTGTAAGGAATCTCCCTCCTACTCTGCATACAAGTGACATTTTCTTCAATATTACAGGCCCAACAAAATGCAACTTGAACAATACAAAGAATATGGCATACAACTAGGATTACCTTCCCTACTCCCCCCAAAAAGAACAATACAGCTGCAATAAAATCATTTAGGACTGACAGTCTATTGAAAAACAATTTATTAAACCTCCCGAAAGCTCAGCCACTGTAAGCTAAGAATACACAGGGTATCTGCTCTTAAGGAAATAAATCAAGTATGGTTAGTGAGGGGAGGTCCCGGGTAGAATAAGAGTCAAGGTACAGATTAGTGAGGTAATGACCAGGGTGAGCTGAGAGGGAGAATGCTGGCTGATGCTGATGGATTGAGGAGGAAAAAGTAAGAGTCTTTATGGGTGGTGGCTGGAATAGGGAACCAAAGTTTATTAGAAGTAGACAAGCCATATAAAGAGGACATCTAATCTTATTCCTTCATCTTATAGATGAGGAAAACCTAAATGCAGTTTAAAGAAGAGGAGAGACCCACAGGAAAGTGAGAGGGGTTCTCTGCACTCCGGCCCTCACCTCCCTTTTCCATGTGATCATTGAGCTCACGGGCCCCTTGCTCCAACCCCATTCACTACTCACTGCTACTTGAATCATGACCCACGTGCACTGCCTCTCGTGTTGAAATTTCACCCATTTTTCAGTGCCTGGTTCCAAAGCTGACTTTTCTACAATGCTCCCCCAAGATCCCAACAGCAGCACCTGCCACCTCCTTGCAACCCCAGCCTGCTCTCCCAGTGGCTGACCATTTCTTTCTTACTTGCCATGATACTTTGTAATAAGTAGTGGGAGTAAGTCATCTGCACGTTGGTGTTTCTAAACTCTTTAGAAACCTGTCTTAAAGCCCTGAAGACTTCCTGTGGACTCCATTTCAATAATCTACTTTTAGCTTTTTTCGTAGAGAGCAAGTCCAAGAATGTTGCCACAGAACTCCCCAAAACACAGAGGTTTGCAGCTGGGAAGGACCCTAGACAATCCCCTCATTTATACAGATAAGGGAACAGAGACCTACACTGGTGGCGAAGTGAGCTGTCTAAGGACTGCTAAACAATGGCAGAGAGTGACGGGGGCATTTGGTTCGTAGGTTCAACAAAAGTCACATGGCTTGTGCACCATCAAAGTTATTGTGAAGGGTAAACAATGAAATCCACATGGAAGCACCTAGCATAGTATCAGGGACAGAGTAAGCACACTAGAAATGTTAGAGAACATGAACCTGAATGGCCTGTGGCCACGGGAGATGGTGCACCTCTGCCCTTGATGCACACGGGCGAGGGACCCAGCGGCTGGAGAGCTCCCTTCTCTACATCTGGCTCACAGCAATCTGTACCAACACGGTCCCAACAAGGCTTTCCCCCAGATGCCACAGTGCCCGAGTGCTTGGATCTCAGACCACTTACACTGGTTGTGGGAGAAGAAAGGAATATTATGAACTGGAAGCCCAGAGAACAGACAAATGATGAAAGCAAACATGGGCAAGGGAGAGGTGGCATTTCTGAATACGCTGGGGGCAAGAAGAGATGCATTCTGATCTCTGGTCACTTTTTGGCCACGAGTACCTTCATTTTTCACTCCATGTCTGGGGTGGGAGTCCCCCAGTGGGCCAGTTCTCTGGAGTGGGGAATGGAAACAGGAAGGCAGTGCTAGCTCCACCCAGGCAAGGCACAGCAGTGAGTTCTTCTATTTAGGGGGATGTCTATGCTCTTTCTCTAGGGGTCATGTCATCTGCAGAGAACTTCATTTAAGCAATTGTCATATTGTGCTATTATTGTTGGTGTGTCTCCTCTTGGACGACAGGGACCGTGTCCTTTCCATCCACACATCCTTGACGCCCAGCACAGGGCTGGACACGCTGCGGAGTTTCGATGTCAATTTACTGAATGAACGCTGGCTACGATATAGACCTACCCAAGGCAGCGCTTACTGGCTGGAGAGCCTGCATGGGCTTTTGCCAAGCCTGGTTTTGGAAGCCAATCAACTCTGCCTTCTTTTCCCAAAGAAAATACAGGCCCTGGCTCTGAAGTCGGCCATGGTCCCCAGGCTCTTCTTGGCTATAATTAGAAAAAGACCTGTTAAAGACCTCAGTAAACCCCCTCTCTACACTCTCCCCGGTGCCCATTTCCCCTGCTCAGAGTTTTCCAAGATCCTGACCGACGTGCATGTGCGATTTTCCTCACTTAGAAACGCTTTCCCACATATGGTGTTTTCTCAGTCCCTGGAGCAACATTCCTACAAGGTTTCACCATCTCTCCAAATACTCAAAAGAGAGCAATTTCTGATTCCTCCTTTTTGGATCAGTTAACAGCATCCACAGAGGGTTTGGGGGTATTCAAGAAGCAGCTGACATGGAAAAGGAAGCTGGGGTAGAGAATGGCACAGAATCTGGGCCCCCAGCAACCTGCGTCTGCCCTGTCACATGCAGAGACGGGGCTGCAGCCTTCAGGTTCCGATTCACCTCTCCAGGACCAGCTTCCTTATACAGGAGCACCTCCCGACCATGTACCTAAAGACCCCTCTTGCTGCCCATGTGTGGAGTAAATTTTTAGACTGCTTAGGGGTGAGATCATCCAGAATAAAAATGCAAAGTGGCAGGTACTGGCTTATATAAATCTTAAATCCTGGTAACAACCATCCTGAAGCAGGTGCTATCATATTTCTCATTTTGGATGAGGAAACCAAGGCAAAGAGGGGTTCCACAACTAGCTAACAAGCAGCAGAGCCAGGATTTGCACCTTCTGGCTCTAGAGCTCATGTTATTAATGATGACACTCTGCTGCCTCTCTGTCCATCCCTGCTCTCAAACATTCTAGAGAGTTTACTTCCAGAGGAAGCCCAAGCTCCAAGCCTGGAGCCAGGACGGCTGCTGTCAGCAGGCTGTGCCCTTCCCCAAGCAGCCTCAGCTCTAAGCAGAGTTTGCAGAGATTTGAGGCCATCACTCCTATGTCCTCCTCCCCATATTCCCTACGAAAGCACCCGCACAAAAGTAAACACAATCCAATTCCCTCCTGGGCCTGACGGTCTTCAGTGCAGCCCATCTGCAGGTCACCTGTGCCTGCAGAGGCCCTGTGTTGTAGTGGACAGAACACGGAGTGCACCATCTCACATCCAGGGTTTGAGACCAGCACGGAAAATCTGGGCGACTTACAAAGAAAGCAGAAAGGCTCTGTTTTAGCTTTCCTCAGAGAGGAGAAATGAGAGCAGAGGTGAAAGCAGTGTTTAATTTGCCAAATTTTTAATATGCAAATTCAAGAGATTTCATTATTTCTGGTATAACCATATCCTCTGGAGGCAAATTCATTCTCTGGCTGGGGTCAAAGAGGACGCTGGCCAGCTGTGTCCAGAAGGGTCTGACTCTGGAGAATTTCTTCGGCTACGACATGGTCTCTGACTAATGCTACGGGCTCAGGAGACATCCTGCCAGATAACCCTAATGTCTTGTTCAGGGACTGGAAAGGCAGAGAGGTGGGAAAGTGATAGATTTAAAGTAGCATGACAAAAGGGAAAGGAATGTGGTGGAAATATTAAACTAAGGCCATATATAAAAGACTGGCTATGCTTGTTCCCCAAATCTTAATTGCAAAATTAATTCACACTGGCTTTGTTCTGAACATAGGTCTTGAGGCCTCAAAATTAGTCAATGGGGCCACACGAAGATGTTCTGACCCATGGCAAAGCTGGGAGCTGGGAGAGAGAGAGCCTGGTGGAGCCTCCACTGGGGATTGGTCTGGTTTTGGTTAATCTCTTTATTAATGATCCGGAAGCAGGAGGGAGGAAAAAGTGGCAGATTAATTAAAATGCACAGATGACGCTCAAAGGGAAGGTGCTGCAGACACCAGTGAGGACAGACCAATTAGGCTGAAGCACCCGTGGGGGTTGGCAACCTGGAAATAGCATAATTAGATTCAAACTAAAACATGTAGGTTAACTCACCGGGGGCACGGTGGATCCAAAACCAACAAGGGAGGGAAATTCTTGGAAGGGGATGAAGGGGGGGGGGGCGACTTGGAATTGCTACAAGGAGTAAATGAGAAATGAGCTCACATGAATAAAGCTGTGTGGGTTTCCACGGCACCTTCTTCCCTGCTAGCTCTGCGTCCTCCACCTCATTCACTTCAGCACCTCTCAGGTAGTGGCAACCATGAAACTCCCTGTCTTATGGAGCACAAAAAAGACATAAATTGAGGAACAGAGCCAAGATCACAAAGCAGGCCAGAGATGGTCCCCAAAACCTGCTGACACACATGCTCTAAAGTCACGGAAAACCAGAAGCAATCAGGGAGCTAGAGGAGAAACAGCTACTCTCTCTGTTGGTAATTGGTGAGGCCTCATGAGACAATCCCTGAACTCTGAACAGGTCTGCATCTATGTAGTGTCAAACCAGGTGAGAGAAGGGGCAGATGTGGATTCCTATCCTGTTCTTTAAGATACCTAATTCTACTGTTGTTCCTCTCCTTAAAACTTAGTACTTAAAACTCAGGGCTCTGAAACTGACTAACACACATGGTCAATCCTCGGCCCAAGATCTGAAATAGGACAAGGCCCTCAGTTTTCAGGAGATGCTGGCTTCTCAGCAGAAATGAGACAAGACACACAGTCAACAGTGAAGGCATACTCTAGGATAAAATAAAATAAAACAGAGAACCTCAGAAGGTTGACTCGCCTCCCTAAGAAAGGAAGTAAGGAAACTGGTCCTTTCGAAGGCCGGAAAGTGAGGAACAGGGACCCCTGAACAGACAAGGCACCTATATCCCAAAAGAAAGCCAAGTGGACCGAGATGGAGGTAGGAAGCTGTGAGTTTCCTTTGCACAGCTGTCAGGAGAGGAATTTCACATTGTTTAAAGCATAGCCTCCTCTGGCCCCGGGCTGTGAAAGATGGAAGGCATGGCACACGTCAAAACAGTGTGCACCAGCCGCTCCAGGGAGGAAGGTACGACAGTTATTCCCCAGGCCAAGGAAGCCTCTGGCTTAGCCCCGTCTTGGCAAAGAGAGATCTTAAAGGAGCTTGGTATGCCGACACAAGCCCCAGGAAACTCAGGTTTACTTTATCCTTTGCATATCACAAACTCCCATGTCATGGAGGGTGGACTAAGAAGGATCTTCAGAGAAAATCTGAGTCAATCTGGCTACTAGCCATCATGGTGTTATCCTGCATTTAGTCATCTTTGTTTTGGTAATTCACACTCATCCACCACTGTGCATACAGGTGTGCATGCATGGGTTGATGGGCCTACACACACACACACACACACACACACACACCATGTAACTACCTGAGGTGAGGATGGACTCTAGTTGAACTATTTTCAGGTTTTGAATTTTGAAAAATTTGAAACTATTTTCAAATTATGGAATCATTTAATGTTCAGAAACATTTCAATTTTGGTATCATTTTCTGTGTCTGGATTACTCCAATCTGTAAGTGTGAAAACACACAAGGGGAAGTTGCTTCAGCCACATAGACAGCTGAAAGTGCAGCTGGCATTAAATAATAACTTTGGCCTCAGAGAATAGCTGCCCACGTCAACGTTTTTGTTTTAAATTTATGATTATGTTCAAGTTGAGTTTATGGTCAAGCGTACACGTTGTCTGCAAAATGCTATACAACAGTAAATGATACCATTACAAGGTAGGGGCTGCTGAGTAATTGATTTTCAATAATTATAATTAATAATAATGATGACAAAGATGAAAGTATTTATCTTATCCACCCAGACAAACATGAGTCTCCAAATGGCAGAAGAAATAAGTTGGCTTCCTCTTGAGGGTTGGAGGCCAAGGGAAATCCCAAAGCATCCCTTCCATTCAATTCTTACTCTTCCAAACCAAGACCACAGCTGGCTTGGCAATGGCCAAAACTTTTTTGTGTGCATCAACCATAGCAGCAAGTCCGCGATAAACTCAAACCATACTGGTTTGGCCCCCAGAGGACTTGGCTGCAGAAAGTGTGGTCAGATGGCAGGCTGACTCCTCTAGACTTGGCCATCAGGCCTGTGTCAAATATGGCCCCTCATGTCTCCCTGCTGCCACACAGCCAACTGCCTTTCACAAGGATGAGGAGTATTGACTGGTGGTCTACAGCTGTATTGATTGCTGGTCTGGTCTGGATCCCTTGTCCGGAAAATCATGGTGTCCGAAGACTGTGACAGCTGGGGCTGTCTTTTGCTTCTCCAGGTGTCTCTCCCCCCTGTTCCCTGTGACCGTCATCATGCTTCTGAGTACTTTTACAGACTAGGGAACTGAGGCAGAAGAAACATGTGTCTGGTGCTTTTCTGAGTCTCTTCTCACCCACTCATGTAGTGATGCGGGGATGTGCACACAGGAAGAAAACCAATCTTCCATCAAAACTGGAGTGTGTGATAGACACTTAACAAACACAATGACTCCAACCCAAAACACTCCAGTGACTCTTTCTGGGCAGCTGGGCAAGACTGAAAAACCAACCCAGAGCTTGTCCTCTGAAAGTAATTTTGGCACAAACACTCTGAACCCCAGGCTGTCTTTAATCACAGATGCAAGTCATAATAATCGCTTGTAAGAACAGCTCACATTTATTGAGCCTCACCATATGCTAGACTGTGCGGAACACTTCACAGGGATGATCTCAATTAATCCTTGTGGATACGATTATTATCTCCACTTTTCAGCCGAGGAAACTGAGGCTCAGAAGGATTAAGTACTTTTTCTCAAGATGAGACATCAATTGAGAGACAGAGCCCGGGAACAGACCCCTGACTCTGTGATCCCACAGGCCTAACTCTTAGCTGATACTGCAGAAGATCTCTCAATTCACTCCAACGTCTAAGGCACCCGCCACTTCATTGCAGTGAACTAGGTAGCAAGCAGCATGCTGGTATATTAATGTTTCTTTCTTTGTAGAGTAAGAGACATTCAAG